CCCTCGCCTTCACTGAAATGACCGATATCTACTGATCGCAGACCGGTAGACTTTCGCAAACAACAGTACCGGCTCCCGCTATTGTTGAATGTTGAACTCGCAGTGTACCCTTTCTCGGGGTTGTATGTTGTTTATCAATCTCGGCCCAGCGAAATTCGATTCAAGATGTTGATGTGGGAAAACAATGGCTTTGTACGGTATGTCGACTGGGAAGGAGAAGTTTATATGGCCACGCATCGATGGACGTCTTAAGCTGACGGACAACCAGATAAACTTTCTCCTGGGACCGGCTGGCATATTTCAGCGGTTGAAAAGGCATCAATATGTTGCAATATAGCTCTGCTTTTCTCTGAGGCGTTTTCGATATTCTGTAGACATAATCGCCATTGCAACAGGCAAAAAGTTCACAAAATCAATATGACTTAGCATTTTGCAGTAAGGCTGCGGTTGCTGAAATTACTGGTTGATGAGACGTCTAGAAACACCCGGATTGAGTCTAATATCACCGAGGCAACTGGAACAGATTGCAAAAAGTGGTGGAGGAGACGAGGTTGTAACCCTGACCCAGGCATAGTCCGGCAACAGGAAGAGCATATTCGATTCTCGAAGAGCTACTGCGTTTGCCTAAAGATGCCAGCTAATGTTTGCCGCGTAGCAGTTTGAAAAACTGCATTCAAATTTCCCTGTTCGACGAAGTGGAACTGGAGTCTGCCATCGATGCATTGATGGATCAGGCAGTGGACGATGAAACAGATACACCGCCGGCACAAAAGAAAACCCGGAAACGCGGTTTTTCCGCGAACCTTGAGCGAATCCGCATTGAACTCGCTTTATCCGACGAACAAAAAGCTGGCGCTGAGCGCAGCTTCTTCACCAAGGTCAAAGAAGAACTAGAATATATCCCCGCCAAATTGAAGGTACTCGAGTATTGGCAGGAAAAAGCCGTCTTTCCCCAGACTGACGGTAGCGAAACACTCATTGCGGCCGAGCGTCCAGTTCATCCGCTGGGTAAATGCTCTGCAACCACGTCGCTGCTGGCGCAGATTATCACCGCCAAGTATGCCGATGGTCTGCCGCTGTATCGTCAAGAAGGCATCCTCAAGCGCTACGGGGCTGAAATTAGTCGCACCAACATGGCGAACTGGATTATCCGTCTAGAGGATGTGTTCAAACCCCTCATGAACCTGGTTCGGGAAGAACAAAACAGCGGCGATTATCTACAAGCCGATGAGACTCGGATACAGGTGCTAAAGGAAACCGGTAAAAGTGCCCAATCCAAGCAGTGGATGTGGGTGATCCGAGGAGGTCCGCCGGATAAACCGGCTGTGATGTTCCATTATGATCCATCGCGATCAGGCGAAGTACCGGTACGCTTGCTCGATGACTTTACGGGTGTACTGCAGGCCGATGGCTATAGTGGCTATGCTCAGGTATGCCGAGTCAATAAAATCACCCGCATTGGGTGCTGGGATCATGCGCGGCGAAAGTTTGTCGAAGCCAGCAAAGCGGCGGCAGTAATAAAGACGAAAGGTCGACCGACGAAAGCCGACGTAGCGCTTGGCAAGATCCGTAAGCTCTATACACTGGAATCAAAGATCGCAGATCAAACGCCTGAGCAAAAATACAAGGCTCGGCAGGCAATCGCAATCCCGCTACTCGACGACCTAAAAGCTTGGCTGGACAAGAATATCTCCCGCCTGCTTAAGGGTGGACTGACACACAAGGCCATGCAGTACACGCTGAACCAATGGGACAGCCTGATCGGCTACTGCGAGGATGGTAACCTAAACATCAGCAATGTACTGGCGGAGAATGCAATCCGACCTTTCGCCATCGGTCGCAAGGCATGGCTGTTCTCGGACACGACGCAGGGCGCACATGCCTCGGCCACATGTTATTCGCTTATCGAAACCGCGAAGGCCAATCAACTCGAACCTTATGGTTACATCAAATATCTGCTCGACCACATCGGCACAGCAGACACACTGGAGAAGCTCGAAGCACTGCTACCTTGGAATGTGCCCAAGGAGGTGTTCGCAAAAAAGTGAATGGCTTCGATGGGAAGCAATAGGCGGATTTAAGGGCGCTTACGATTGAAGCAGGGTTCAAGGAAATCAAGCAGGAGATAGGCAGTGCCAGATCGCAAACCCGCAATGCAGATGCGGT